ACAGTTCATTTCATGAGATGCATGGAGTGGCTAATTGGATTTAAAGAGCTGGAATGAGAAAAGGGAAGGGAAGACAGGCTGATTATATAGATGCATTTGAGACAGTTGAGACAAGTGCCTTGTTTGTTTATAATACTTACATGGCCATCCTTCAATGAAATAGAATTCTGGGCAGTTCACCACAATAATAAAAATGAAAAAAAGAAACAGTAAAATGAATGCTTGGCACTTCAACCAACAGTCTCTGGTCCACTAAGAAGTAGAATCCCCTGGGTCCTCTTTCCGTGCTAATGCAGTGCCGGGGGGGGAGGGGGGGAGGACCAAGCCTTTTCAGTTTCCCGAAAGGCTAGAAGGCCGGGGACCTGCCAGATGCCATGGGATGAGTATTCTGCAAGACGGGCACCGCTATGTAAAATATACTCTTTCTAGGTCCTATTAGATGGCAATATTAAGGGAAGAGAGGTGGAGCAGGGCAACCCCATCCAATCTGGTAGAATGGGAGATTCCTCAGGGAGAGGCAGTCCTCCAAATAACTTGGCTGTGTGCCATGTATGTTTTAAAGGAGATAACCATCACTATATATTGCATACAGAAAGAAAATGGACCCAGTGCAATTCACATGACAAACAATGTGATATGGGCAAAGCAAGAGGCACCTGAAGCTGCAACACCACTGAATTCTGGAGCAGTTGTAACTTTTGGGTGACCTTCAAGGATAGAGCACATTGAGGTAGTCCAGCTGGGAAGTGACCTAGGCAGGAGTGACCATGAGCAACGCCTCCCAATCCAGGAATGGGCACAATTGCTGTACAAGATGGATCTATCTAAGATGGCAAAAGCCCCTCTAGTCACAGCTGCCACCTGCTCTTCAAGCAGGAGGGCCTCCCCAAACTGCACACAGTCTCTGTCCAGGAAAGTGCTACCCCACTGAGAGTCAGAGATAGCATTAATAGACCTAGGAGAAACAGAAACCAATTCTTCCCCATCTAGACACTCACAGCCCCCAAGCACCGAGTCAGTATCAGAACAGCACCACCTACCCAGCCAGGGGTAGATGTAAAGATATCGACTAACTATAGAGAGGAAGCAGTGACCTTGATGGAGATATGCCAATATCGGTATAAGAAATCTTAGCCTTTCTGTCGAGATGATTCTTCATCTGGTCTACTTGGTAGAGCTGACCATAACTGGGTATCATCAGCAACTCCGTGCCATTGAGTAACCTCACCCAACAATTCACACGTATCATCTGCTTTCTTGAAGAATCGGAGACTTTTAATCAATTGTTAATTTTCCCAATCTTTTCACTCCAGTCAAAAGTCACCATCAGGGTAAGTGACCAATATTTTTATCTGCTTGGTTTAATCCTGTTTCTGTGCTGGGTTTTTTTAAGGAAGGAATCGTTGGGAAGAACATAATGCTCACACTCATAATATTGAAGGCACTTCCTATGCCTTGTTGGCCCTGCTGAAAATGAAGAAATTTGCTGAGGCCGGTCCTGTAGTCAAATGGCTGATAGATCAGAAATATTATGGGGGAACATATGGGCAAACCCAAGTGAGTCTTTGTTTTATTGTCAGATTATAATCTTCTGAATTGTATTCTACTGTAGGCTGGTTTAAACAAAATAATAGTCTGAATTGTTGCATGTTTTCGCCTAAAGAAGGGGGAGGCAAAGTCGAGACACTATAGCAGTCTTTTAATATTTGAAGTTCTGTCACGGGGAAGAGGTTGTGGATTTATTCTCCATAGTGCCTAAGGATAAGATAAGAAACAGTGAATGAAAACTGTACAGAGAAAGGCCACCACCACCACCACTCAAAAAATAAAAAAGAATAAGGATTGGGTTTTTTCTGTACTTTGCATACTACTCAGCTGTTAGAATAAGGCATTGAATAACTGCTGTAGGTCTTGACTAATTCTGATAGACTAAAATAAACTTCAGTCATCTGTAAACTTTTTTTAGCACAAAATATCCATAGGAGAAAATGTTTTGTGCTGAGAAAAGATCAGGGTGTGTGCTTACATGGTGGATAGACAATTGTTTATCTCTACTTGATTAGCAGACAAGAGCATGGATCTTTTGATGTGCAGGACGAAGAATAGTTTTGAAAGGAATTTTTGCCTGAAGATTATCTAGGGTTTATGTCCTTCATCCATGCTGAAATTAAGGGAACCAAGAGAAATCTCATCCATAGACTTCCTATTGTCCTAGATCACTTAGTTCTACAGATAAAAAGGTGGTTTAAAGATGTATTTATGTGTATATATGTTAACTCTCCTCTGTTTGTTTACTCATCAATTTGTAGCCCATCTTCTCATTTATGATCAAATGATCTAACAGACAATTGTAAAAACTAGAAATATAGTTTGGGTATTTCTTGCAACAATCTTCTCCCCTACGTGTTAAACATTTATTTCTATGGTAAAATATATCACTGGATTTTCAGTTCTTTTGTGAGATACTCCAAGACAAACAATCTTATTTTTTCCTTCTCCCATTCTAGGCAACAGTTATGGTGTTTCAAGCTCTTGCTGAATATGAGATTCAGATGCCTACCCATAAGGACTTAAACTTAGATATTGCTATTAACCTGCCAGAACGAGAAGTGCCTCTAAGGTACAGCATTAATTATGGAAATGCTCTCGTGGCCCGGACAGCAGAGGTACAATATTTCAGCAAGTGTATTTATTACTCCTTTCATTGGAAATAATTATTTTGGTTCAAATGCATCTTTTTTTCAAGAACTGGGAAAAACTATACATAATTTGGTGAAACAAGAAAGAAAACCTAAGTCAGTTCTCCCTATTGGAATTGCACCAGATTGCGGGAGACTGGCTTAAGACAACTAGCTTCTTTGTCAACATACAATGTAGTTTTAAATGACTTCCTTTTCCACACAAAAAGCTGCAAAAGGCTGTATTTAAGACAATATTGCAAAACTGTGTCTGTACTTCCAAGGACAATTTCTAGCAAAGAGATTTTAATGGCTCTGCGGGACTTTGGAGCACTTCATTAAAGTGCTCCAGTCATGAAAACGATCTATTGCTATTTGGTATTTCTGATATTGCAGAAGCACTTTAGAGCCAAAATAGATGTATGATACTAATAGAGTTTAAATATGTTTCTATATTGATCTGGTACAATCAAGTAGAAAGAAATATTTGTGAAACAGCCTCTGAGGGAAAAGCAGATGAAGGAACATAAACTATGGCAGGAATTACCACCAATATACCAATAGTAATAGGGGCCTTGTGAGCAATCCCACAACAACTGGAGCACCACTTAATCACCTGCGGCATTGATTAATCACTGTCAATCAATTGCAAAAGGCAGCTTTATTCAGAACAACTTACATCCTGTGACGATAGCTTTAAACTTAAGAACAAAAAGAACTGGTCCTTGGAAATGACTCACTAGGTGGATAAAAATGCCAAATCTAGTCTAAATATCTGGCAGATATCTGCAAACAACCAATAATTATGACAAAGCGATCTGACATGTTTGTATATCTAGTTATGCATTATTTTTCTTTGGACTGATAGTGAATGTAAAGTCAAGAATTGTCATGGTTCGTTGCACAGTCAGCCAGATGTTAATATCAGAACTTCTGTCATTAACTGATGTGAGTGTTAAATGAATCATGCCCAATTTTATGACTTTTTTGCCCCAGTCATGAAGCAAATAACCGTGATCAATAAGTGAATCATGCAGCTGTTAAGCAAATCCAGCTTCCCCTATTGACTTCGTTTGTCTGAAGCCCCTTGGGATGGTTGCAAAAGGCAAATACACGACTCTAGGGGCTCTGCAACGTCATAACTGCAAGGATTGGTCCTAAGTCACCTTTTTCAGTGCCATAACTTTGAACAGTTGTTAAATGAGCAGTCATAAGGACTACTTCTATCTGAAAGTAACGGTGAGGCCTTTGTGCTACAGGATACTTAATGGATTAAGTGTCAATGAGTAATACAGCGAAGCACATAGAAAAATGGCATAAATAAAAGAAATAAAAATGCAAATGCCCAACTACAGGTAATCTTTGACTTTCAACCATTGTTTTAATGATGTTTGAAAGTTATTATGGCCTCAGAAAAAGTGATTTATGACCCATCCTCAAAAGTTGCAACCATTGCCATATCCCGCAGTGACAGTCATTGCAGTTTGAGTGCTTGGCAATCGCTTGCATTTATGATGGGTGCAGCATTTATGATGATCTTGCATCTTGCACTGACATGATCACGATTCGCAACCTTCCTACTGGGCTTCTTTAGATTTGAACATTTTTATTAATTTATCAGAATATAAAATACAAAGGAAATGACAATAATGGGAAACTAAGGGAGGAAAAAGGGGAAAGGAAAAAGTATGGGATAAAAAGGAAGAAAGAAAAAAAAAGAGTTGACTTCCAGCTCTCTTTAGCAAAGTAGAAGATAATAGCACTGTAGCCTCAACTTTTTACCTTCACACAATAATATATACTAACCATTTTTATAACCACAAACATAGGTAATCAGCAAAACCAAAATCAAAGTTTAATTCTTTCCAACACAAGCACTAAATCCAGAAGCGATTTCCAAATGGAAACAACATTAGATATGTTCTTTTCCTTGAATAAAACAATCAATTTAATAATCTCAACTTTTTTTCTTTTTGCTGTGGGGAATAATATGTATTTCTGTTTGGGTCTATTAATCTTTATAAACTATCATCATTTATATTAACACAATTTACTACACTCTCAAATTCTTTAACTTTAAAAGGGAAAGAAACTTTTTAAACACATCATTTAAAAACTCTAGACTTTTCTTTAAAAATGTTTCTAACCATTCATTCTTTCAAATTTACTTTCAATAATATTTTACAAACTTTAGGAATTACTCAAGTATTGTATATATAAGAAAAAAAATCAAACCCACTTTATAAACAGAAACTACATTGCTTTCTTTCATTTACGTATATCAGACTTGTAAAAATCCATCCTAATTCCAATTAACACATCAATTTAAGTCGCTCCTTCCAGCTTATCCTCATAGAATAAAATCTTTTTCTTCTCTAGAATGTCTATCAAGTCTCTTTTTCTCAAGAAATTTTCAATCTTCTTAGAGTCCATGAAGAAAACATCCCAAGCTTGCCCTCTGTGAATTTGCTTGAAATTCTTGTTTTAGTTGCACTGAGAGGGTTGTATTCAAGCTATCTTCATAATAAAAATTGGTGTCAGGTTGGTATTCTGAAGTTGCTGTTAAATCCTTAGATTGTCAGATATTTGTGAAATTGTATCAATGGTTTGATAATTTTCTACATATAATTTCCCCTCTAACTTCTTAAAAATATCATTTATATCATTTAATATCATTTATCATTTATGAATATAGTTAATATACTTTAGAACCTAGTGGGTTTATAAAATGAATAATTTTCTGTATAGAATTTTCAAAAACCTTCCTAAAAATAAACTCAAATTTGACCATCTTCTTAACCTCCCTCTAGTTGTCAAAGAATATATATTTACTTTATTTATTCATTTATTTAAAAAAAAAAATTTTTTTAAATAAATTCCAAAAGAGCTGCTTATTAAACAAATAAATGATTGCAGGCCCATCCCATCTCCTCCACCAGCTGAATGGCTCACCAGATGCTCCAAAACACAGCTCATGAAACCATTTGCAGATTGCTGCTGTATGGAGGATCTTGTGAGCTGATTATAAGAAAAATGAAAGAAACAATCGGACAGGCACATTGATGCGCTTGTGCATGCCCCCTACAGACCGCTTAGGAAAGGGGTGAGGTCAATAGTAGACAGTCTAAGGTTAAAGTTTTTGGGGTTTGACAAGCAAAGTCAGTTGAGGAAACCAGATTCACTTAACGGCTGCAGTGATTTACTTAACAACCACTGTAAAAAGGGTCATAATACTGGGTCCAGTCACATGATGACTCGCTTACGGTCAAAATTCTGGTCCAACTGTGGTTGTACATCAGGAA